ACAGTGTGTGAAAACCTTGTGAAGACTTACAGAAAACGTTTGACCTGTGTCATTGCCAACAAAGGGTATATAACAAAGTATTGAGAAACTTTTGTTATTGACCAAATACTTATTTCCCACCATAATTTGCAAATAAATTCATAAAAAATCCTACGATGTGATTTTCTGGATATTTTTTTCTCATTTTGTCTGTCATAGTTGACATGTACCTATGATGAAAATTACAGGCCTCTCTCATCTTTTTAAGTGGGAGAACTTGCACAATTGGTGGCTGACTAAATACTTTTTTTCCCCACTGTAGCTATGGTAGAGGATGTGGCAGTATTGGTGGAGAGAGGAGTTTTCCCCCACTAAAAGGAATCAGTGAAATTTCGGCACCAGTATCTATAAGAAAGTTAAATGTCCAGCGATCTCCAACGGTACCTTCCATTTAAAACCCATCAATACCTTTTATTACCACTGACCGCACAGAGGTAAACCACCCCTATGCTTCAGAATCATCCTTGCTCCCTCTGGCTGCTCCTAGCAGGGCCTTTTTCTGCCCTGTTGTTTGATGGGCAAATTGCTCCACCAGCTCATATTTTATGGCTATTGGAGCAGATGGCCTCAGCCTTTGATCTTCCCCCCTAGGTCTGTCTTGCGTCCATTTGGGACACTGTCCTATCCAGTGTGTCGTACTCCCACACTTAAAACAACCAATTTCTTCACCCCTGGCAGGCTGTCCAGATTTATAGTTTATCTCCCTCTTCAATTGCCCCCCACATATCTCTTCGCATGTCCTCTATTTCACTAGTCAATAATTTAGCCTCCTTAACCACCTTTCCTAGATTGTTTTGAGTCCATTCCAGCTTTTCCTTGGCCTCTGTTAATTCTTTAGTAACATTGGTGTGTTTCCCTACACCATAACATATACTTTGTATCCCTTGTTTACTCAAGTGTTTTCTTTATTTTGTCAGTTACCGGTATGCCTACTGTCGGGAAGGCTGCAGTTTTGGCAGCATGTGTGCCAAATATATGCTACAGCTTGTTGCGTTGTAGCCATAGACATATAATCCTTTTTTTTTTACCCTGGCAATTTGACTGTTAACCTCATGGGTACACTAGCAATAGATGCCAGTCCTGATTTGAATGGGAACTGCTATCTATTGATACTTTTTCTATGGATGGTTGCAGCTGTCAGTTTGCCTTTTGCAGATTTCTAAATACAATTGTGGGGAAAAAATACAATTTCAATATCTCCCAATGTGTAGCTAACAGTAGCACTATTTTTCAAAGTAGTTCATCTTGAGATAGACTATTGTCATGAAGAGCGCATCGGCCATCACCATGAGTAGCCTATGGCTTCATCTTCATGTGAGATAGTGTGCCACTGGAAATTGTATTTAGTAGCCTATGATATATATACTGTATACAGTATATTGCCTCCTAATATTGTACAATCTGTGTGTTGCTTCATTGACCTGCGCTATTGTTTGTTTGAATTCAAGATTTCTGTTTGTTAGTGTCAGAGTAGCCACTCAATTAGGTCATTTTTGTGGTAATAAAAAAGATTCAGCTAATGTCTTCTGTCATGTAAATGATGAATGGCATGAAATGCATTTTTAAAAGGCAGATTTTTTTTCGGACCCATGTGTGGAAATCCTAAAAACGCCTCTTCTCAACTGTAGCCTATGCCACATGGCAAACGTTATTATGGCTTTATTATGAAGGGGCTTTTTCTTCAACAGTAGATTTACCACGATTCGAATTGCATCTTGGTGCATACATTTCTTTAAATAACATTATGGGGGGGGGGGGGTTCTACTAAGCAAACATATGGAATTGTTTTAAGATGGTCATACAATGGATCATTTAGCTATTTGATTTGGAATTTTAGGACCCCTTTAGGTATTAACTTTGTATTTTATAAAACATAATTTGATAAAATATAGAATTTGGCCTTTACTACTATAGCCCATAGAAACACATTGAATAACACTTTTATAAATGTTAAAAAAGATAGTCAAAAAATCAATCATAAGGTTTTGAAGTTTCTGTCCTACAGTGAGGGAAAAAAGTATTTGATCCCCTGCTGATTTTGTACGTTTGCCCACTGACAAAGAAATGATCAGTCTATAATTTTAATGATAGGTTTATTTGAACAGTGAGAGACAGAATAACAACAAAAAAATCCAGAAAAACGCATGTCAAAAATGTTATACATTGATTTGCATTTTAATGAGGGAAATAAGTATTTGACCCCCTCTCAATCAGAAAGATTTCTGGCTCCCAGGTGTCTTTTATACAGGTAACGAGCTGAGATTAGGAGCACACTCTTAAAGGGACTGCTCCTAATCTCAGTTTGTTACCTGTATAAAAGACACCTGTCCACAGAAGCAATCAATCAATCAGATTCCAAACTCTCCACCATGGCCAAGACCAAAGAGCTCTCCAAGGATGTCAGGGACAAGATTGTAGACCTACACAAGGCTGGAATGGGCTACAAGACCATCGCCAAGCAGCTTGGTGAGAAGGTGACAACAGTTGGTGCGATTATTCGCAAATGGAAGAAACACAAAAGAACTGTCAATCTCCCTCGGCCTGGGGCTCCATGCAAGATCTCACCTCGTGGAGTTGCAATGATCATGAGAACGGTGAGGAATCAGCCCAGAACTACACGGGAGGATCTTGTCAATGATCTCAAGGCAGCTGGGACCATAGTCACCAAGAAAACAATTGGTAACACACTACACCGTGAAGGACTGAAATCCTGCAGCGCCCGCAAGGTCCCCCTGCTCAAGAAAGCACATATACAGGCCCGTCTGAAGTTTGCCAATGAACATCTAAATGATTCAGAGGAGAACTGGGTGAAAGTGTTGTGGTCAGATGAGACCAAAATGGAGCTTTTTAGCATCAACTCAACTTGCCGTGTTTGGAGGAGGAGGAATGCTGCCTATGACCCCCAGAACACCATCCCCACCGTCAAACATGGAGGTGGAAACTATGCTTTGGGGGTGTTTTTCTGCTAAGGGGACAGGACAACTTCACCGCATCAAATGGACGATGGACAGGGCCACGTACCGTCAAATCTTGGGTGAGAACCTCCTTCCCTCAGCCAGGGCATTGAAAATGGGTCGTGGATGGGTATTCCAGCATGGCAATGACCCAAAACACACGGCCAAGGTAACAAAGGAGTGGCTCAAGAAGAAGCACATTAAGGTCATGGAGTGGCCTAGCCAGTCTCCAGACCTTAATCCCATAGAAAATCTGTGGAGGGAGCTGAAGATTTGGGTTGCCAAACGTCAGCCTCGAAACCTTAATGACTTGGAGAAGATCTGCATAGAGGAGTGGGACAAAATCCCTCCTGAGATGTGTGCAAACCTGGTGGCCAACTACAAGAAACGTCTGACCTCTGTGATTGCCAACAAGTACTAAGTCATGTTTTGCAGAGGGGTCAAATACTTATTTCCCTCATTAAAATGCAAATCAATTTATAACATTTTTGACATGCGTTTTTCTGGATTTTGTTGTTGTTATTCTGTCTCTCACTGTTCAAATAAACCTACCATTAAAATTATAGATTGATCATTCCTTTGTCAATGGGCAAACGTACAAAATCAGCAAGGGATCAAATACTTTTTTCCCTCACTGTATATCTAGGAGATACTGTATAAGCTCAGGAAATATGTGTTTTTTTTTGGACACATGTTTAACTCCATATTTTTGTTGGCACAAAACTACCTCAATACTTCCATTCATTTGTATGGGTTACCTTCAGACGAGTCCCGTGACACTTGTGGGAGTCTTAGAGCAAAAAGGAGAACATCGTGTTCGTGAGAGAATCCCATTTTCACAGTGGTATCATATTAGTTTAGCCCAAACTGTTCGGACGCTACAGACAGAATTGGCACATCAGCATTACCGATTTCAGACGAGTCCCATTGGACCGTTCGAATGCTACAGACCTTTTCGTGAGAAGACTGATTTTCGGGATGTCAAACACTTCTGTAGCTCGTCTACCTTCCACCACAGACAGCCGGGATGGGCGAATTCGGTGGCTGCAAAATAACAGATATCTCCATATTAAACTGACAGATTTTTATGGATTTTTTTTTACGTTACTTAGATTGACGCAGGGGTCCGTCAATAGAGTCGAGGGGGAGGGGTAATAGGACATGTAGCCTATTTTAAATTATGAGCGCTTCTAAAGGCGTTAGCATGCTTAAGTTTGGCTGGCGCCTAGCCGAACGAGTGTGTTCCCATACTCCCTTAAAAGACATTCGCTTGAAAAACAAGAAAAAAGCGGCAATAGTACTTTGTGTCAATTTTGATACGACAGAGCCAGTATACACTTCCTCAAAATAGTCAGAATGAATCTAAGATTACAATAAAATCAGTCATTCATTTTGACATTTTTGCTGAAGAGATCTTAGCCGAGCAATTTTACTATGTTTGGTGCAGTATTTTTCAACGAAATAATTTGCCGGAAAACGAGTCGTCTCTCGTTGAATGACAACAAAGACTTTATTGAAGAATCCCCACGGTTGACTTATCATTGACGAAGGGGCTTAGCCTCCAGAAAAAAATGTTGTGTGCCCTAACAGCCGAAAACACCCTCACCGAAGTCCAAAACATACAAAAACTTCACAAAATGTCATCATAATATATGTCAACTCTACCAAACTGTTTCGTCTGGGAAGCATGTGAATGCCTTTAGTCACCTTTATATGTTTTTTATTAAAATACTTTTCATTCAAATCATTTGGTTTTGTTTCAATACTTCAAAACCAAATGGTAGGTCCAGGTAGTCACAAAAATAGATGTGTTGGTAAAATGGTGATTTTAAAGAATGGAGCGGCATATTTTTTACTTATTAACTTTGTCATCCGCAGCTTTGATCTCTTGTTACGTCAGTCACTCAATTAGCCCGTCAGCCCCCAAAAATCTAATTGGTAGTTTAGTCTAGCCAACAATCGACCAGCCCCCCCCCCCCTCGATTGTTAGTCACTCGCACTCAGATATTAAAAACTGCAAACATTTCTCTTCAGGGCCAGCTCTGACTGCATGTGTGTGAATGGATGTGGGTATGCAGGCCCGCAAGCCACTGCAGCCCCTCGTGATGAGCTCAGATTCTTTGTGGCACCCACCCCCATCAAAGTTGCTACACTGTCTCTGTTTAACAAAATGGACAAACATACTTTATTGCTTATAAAAACCTATCAAGAAAATTCACATTTACAAAATGTCATTAAGTAAAACAGATAACATCTACATATGAAAAAGGTCCCTTTTTGTTAAAAACACATATGATTACATGGAAACAATCAGTAACACACACTACACACAAAGAATTGTCAAACTACATGACATACATTCACCACCAGATCAGGAGTTGAAGGCCTGAATGACCTTCTACTCCATTGGTTTCATTTGCCTCTTTGATCTTGTAACATATGATATATAGCTCAACTCCAGCATTCATCAGCTGTAAAACCCCATCAAAGATATCCTGACTCAACATTCCACAACCCTGCCATAGATGGCTCTGTAAAGCTCCCCTTTCTAGTACGAGGACAGCAGAGTATCTTTGGACAGGATGGCGGTAAAGCAAGCTCAATGTGTGGAGGGACTGGCAGTTAACTGGCTTGAGGCAAACACCTCTGCCAAATACGCATTCGGAACGCTTTGAATAATGTTAGGCCAGGGTTCACTTGGAAGATTGCTGGGTGCCTTGTTGAGGTATATAATCTGGAATGAGAGGAGAGTACATTTGTAATTGTATATTTTCTCCATAAAGTGCCATCGGGAAGCCCCATCATCACAACAGCAAAATAATAAAACTCTGCTACTCTGAGGGCTAACTAATACTTCACTTAGGGGTCATCGAACACTGATCAAAATAAAACATGTCAACTATCTACATACACATTGAATCCACAATTATCTTTCCCTTAAGGAAAATTGTATGTATCTAAATGATCAATACTTAACTTATTCTGCTCAGAAGCATTTGATGCACGTTGTAGACTGACAAGTATGTATGACAAGTTATGTGAGACAAATGACTCAGAAAAGAGACGGCTTGATTGACAACAGGTCAGAGGTTCAGCAGTGCACATGTGGGTTTGAAAGGCTGCAGACTAATTCAAAATGGTTAAGAGCTAACAGAATTTTCCCAATGTTTAGCTGAGAGGTAAGGGACAATGGGGGTTCCAGTTGAAAGCCTGTCACATAACCTCATCCCCAGGCTAAAATTGCTGTCACATAGAGCCTGGTAACACTGTGCAATAAAGCAGGATTCGAAAGGGGTGTGGTTAAAATCGAGGTGTGAGAGGGCGAGCCTGCTACAGCTGTGTTAGATTAAACTGAAATATGGCAAAAATCACCAATCAATATAAAGGCTCTATCACATTGACCATATTTTTGAGAAGCTCAATTGATTCGGAGTTCGGGATATAAAGTTGATATGTGAAAACTATTTCTAAAGACGTGTACTTTCAGATTTTCTGAACTCTCTTCCTTGTTTAAATCACGTGCTGCTCGAGCTTTGATGTCCACAATGTAGGGGGAGGTTCTAAGGGTAACGCTAGATGGAGAGCGCGCCAGCTGGTGGACGAGATTAGCCGTCACACAATGAGATGCTGAGATCCTGTTGGTTCAGAAAGAGCTCTAGGGCAAAGTCTCATATCGGAGCAATTACAGCTTCACTGATGTGGTAGACAACTCTTACTGTTCGCCCAGTCTGAAATCCTACCATTCTAGTCATGGAATGCTGCAGGCCAGAGAGCACACCGTTTGAACACTTTTGACGACTTCAATGTTGTTTTTGGATCATTGTTGAGGTATGATGTATTCACCCAGGATTCTACCTGGGTATATTGGTTAAGACACTGTTCCCGGGAAAGAGAGGAAGATGTTCAGTGTGTCTGAGGCAAACAATACAAGAATGTATCTAATACAAAAACATATTTAAAGGGAAACTCAGGGGTATTTTTTAAAGAGGTTCCTTGAAGTCTGACTGCAATCCTGTGAGAGAAGGCACATAAGAGTCTAGTTGAATAAGGCAGCTTCATATCCACTGTGCAGAGACTGACAGAACAGTCCAAAGATAACAAGCCATAGGTATGGAAGAAGTATTTGTCCTCTTCTCTCATCCCTTGCCAGGTCTCAGAGAGGGAGATCAGAGAGAGGGTGGAATGGCTGGTGGATAGTTTCTCTCTCAGTACTGTACCCTGTAGGCCTATGCATTCCACCACACCCCTCACTAGTAGTTAAACTTGACCTTCTCAATATCGACAATAAGTGTCCGAGCCAAGAAGATGCCCATCATCTGAAAAGGGGGAAGAATTTACAGCATTAGCTAACAATAGATATGAATCCCATAAGCATATAAACATGTAGTCTAATTTCAATATAGATATATTTACCTGAAGCAGAGATATAATGATGAATACTCCAGCTACTATGTAGAGATTCCGTGGAAGCCATTCCTCTAAGGCTGGGATGCAGCCCTTGACGTAAATATAGTTGATCCAGTCCCCCTGCAACAGGAAATGAGAGCTATATGGAATGCTCTCCCGTACCTTTGAATATATATATATATATATATATCGGCTTACTCAAATCACCTTACACTAAGTACAAGTCTTGGTGCACTAAATGCATCTTGAAGGTTTAGATCCAACTGATTGTTTTTTTTCAAATACTAAGAAGATTTGATTTGACACCAAGTGTTTGACAAAAAGAGTTCCGAATTAGAATATAAAAAAGTCAAAAGGATGCCTTCTGCTATTGTGTAGCCGTTATACATGACAGCCTATGACAATATCTTAGTGAAATTAATATTGACCACCACAAGAGGCAGAGGAAAGGTCAAAATTAGCAAATAGATAGGCAGCAGGTAGCCTAGTGGTTAAAGCGTTGGGCCAGTAACCGAGAGGTCGCTGGTTCGAATACCCGAGCCAACAAGGTGAAAAATCTCTCGATGTGCCCTTGAGCAAGGCACTCTGTCCTGATTTTCTCCAGGGGTGCCGAACTACTATGGCTGACCCTGTAAAACAACATTTCACTGCACATATCTGGTATAGGACAAACAAGAACATAAAAAAATATATAAAGAATTGATGAGTCATATATGATGAATAGTGAAACTCAGCTCTTCCATTTCAAAATAAAAACTCCCATTTATCTAGAAGCATCTGCTGTGTCTAAGACATTGTTTTTCCTGACAAACAAAAAAGACAAATCAGTTTGCCTTATAACTTTGAATAACAATGAAGATGAATAGTTCATTCTGAGCCAGGGGACCAGAACCGATGTAAAACAGGGTGGATTTGCAGAAAAACAAATTTAAGCCCCAGCTTTAAGAGCGACCACTGGAACACTAGGCCAAAAATATAGAAAAAGGATCATTTATTTTCAGCCTGCCGTTCTTCGTAGTGACAAGAGATTAACAGGGGCAGGAGGGAGCCTGCCTTTTATTCAGCAGTGATAACACCACATTTGTGTTTCTCCCATTTGGGTAATGGGGAAGGAAAGGCGCTGTCGATACAGTTTAAATGACATTACACGAAAGCCTGTATTATGTACCCGTAAGAAGAAATGGAAGTTTACTTTCTGCACTGAAATCTATTACTTTCTCAATAAAATGTTTAACTTTCACAGCAATAGTCTTACTACAGCTAGTACAGAGGTGGATTGTTGCAAACAATAGACATGGATGCATATATAGGCCATATAAACATACAGTTAAGACATGCAGTAGGCTATCGTAAAGAGAAATAGCAATTTCTCCAGATTCTGTGTGCGGATATACATAAGTCACTTTGGATAAAAGTGTCTGCTAAATAGCTCAGCTCTTGCTCAGTTGTGCACCGGGGCCTCCCACTCCTCTTTCTATTCTGGTTAGAGCCAGTTAGCGCTGTTCTGTGAAGGGAGTAGTACACAGCGTTGTACGAGATCTTCAGTTTCTTGGCAATTTCTCACATAGAATAGCCTTCGGAATAAAGTTATTTGTTTCTGGACATTTTGAGCTCCAAATACTCAACTAGTCTCAAGAAGGCCAGTTTTATTGCTTCTTTAATCAGCACAACAGTTTTCAGCTGTGCTTACATAATTGCAAAAGGATTTTCTAATGATCAATTAGCCTTTTAAAGTGAACAACTTGGATTAGCAAACACAACGTTCCATTGGAACACAGGACTGATAGTTGCTGATAATGGGCTCTGTACGCCTATGAAGATATTCCATAAAAACATCAGCCGTTTCCAGCTACAATAGCCATTTACAACATTAACAATGTCTACACTGTATTTCTGATCAATTGTATGTTATTTTAATGGACCATTTTTTTTGCTTTTCTTTCGAAAACAAGGACATTTCTAAATGACCCCAAACTTTTGAACGGCAGTGTATGTGTGCACTGGATAGGGTCATACCTTTAGATGTTTACGGACATCATAGCCACACTGGGTGTTTAAAACTGAGTCCTGAGGAGAGAGAGAAAGGAACAGGTCGATTTAGTCCTGTCAGTGTCAAGGACTAACGAGGCATACCTAAAAATGAGTATGACAGTGGCAGTTATAACAACTAGTACAGAGTCACTTATTCAGAGGAGACGGATACGGAAGGAGCAATGACACCATTTTTTACATTACATTTTAGTCATTTAGCAGACACTCTTATCCAGAGCGACTGAGTGCATACATTATTTTTTTTATTTTGCATACTGGCCCCCCGTGGGAATCGAACCCAAAACGCCATGCTCTACCAACTGAGCTACATCCCTGCCGGCCATTCCCTCCCCAACCCTGGACGACGCTGGGCCAATTGTGCGCCGCCCTATGGGTCTCCCGGTCACGGCCGGCTACGACAGAGCCTGGATTCGAACCAGGATCTAGTGGCACAGCTAGCACTGCAATGCAGTGCCTTAGACCACTGCGCCACTCGGGAAACCCACAAGAGAGACATGGAGATACGGGCAGGCAGATTACTCACCGTAGGGTCACTGAGGCAGCAGGAGAAGGGCACTCCACACCTCTCTCTGCTGGGGTTGTTGTTGGTGCAGTTGAAGTAGACGTTCAGGTTCCAGTCGTCAGGCTCCTTGGCTCCGCAGCAGTGGTTCTAGGACAGACAATAGAGGGGAGTTTGAGTCAGATGGTTCTAACGAACCGAACACACTCCAACTCCTGAGGTGTGTTTCCATACCATACATCTGACAGTGTAGGACTGAGCACACAGCACATATCCACTTAAAGGACAGCAGTTCAAGTATCATCAGGTCCCCAGAGAACAACCGGCCATTGTAGCAAGGCTTGTGAAAGCAAGCACACAATCACACACTAACACTGGGATGTATGAACAATCTCGGGGAGGGGTTAGGAGGAAAGGAAGGAAACAATGTGACAGAACCGATGTGAGGGACAGCAGGTTATTAGGTCACCTTGTGTCTCACATTCTCCCTGCCTCTATATCCCATTACCCACCCCCCACAGCCACACGCTGCATAGCTCTCTCACCAGCTTTTGCAGGGAGTCGATGAGGTTCTGCAGGTCGATGTCCTCTCTGTAGGCCTTGACATTGGCCAGGAAGAAGTCGTTGATCCACTCTCTGACGTAGTCCTGGAAAACGAACGCCAGCACGGCCGCAGTCAATTCCAGGAAGAAGATTAACCCGATCACACCCGAGAACTGGAAGAGAAAAACAAGTTAACTACACGTGGTGGGAGACTGATAGAGAAGCATCAGAGTCAGAGACAACAGACTCAAATACAGGACAGTAGTGTTCTTGCTAATATGGTTTGGTAGTGCTTTGCATGGGTAGAAAAAACCCACCATAAAGATAAAACAATTGCATGCCCTAATCAATGAAGGATGTGGTGAATGAAGGAATCCCTCATTGATGGATTTACACTCATTAAGATGGACACACCTTGTTATATAGTCAGTCATCGTATAGCCTGAGGAGTCATAGGAGCATGTCTGACTAGTGGAGCACAAGCTGGGCCAACAGAAAGGGCTTGTAAGTAGGGCTGGCACAATTAACGTATAACTGTAACAGACTGTTATAGATGTAGACTGACATGAAAATAAAATAATGTAAATCTCTCTCCGTCTATCTATCTATATACAGTACCAAACAAAAGTTTGGACACAGCTACTCATTCCAGGGTTTTTCTTTATTTTTACTATTTTCTACGTTGTAGAATAATAGTGAAGACATCAAAACTTTCTACAACGTTACAGCCTTATTCTATAATGGATTAAATAGTTCCCCCCCCCCCCCCCCCCCCTCAATCTACACACAATACTCCATAATGACAATTCAAAAACGGGTTTTTGCAAATGTATTAAAAATAAAACAGAAATATCACATTTGCATAAGTATTCAGACCCTTTACTCACCACTTTGCTGAAGCACCTTTGCCAGCAATTACAGCATCGAGTCTTCTTGGGTATGAAGCTACAAGCTTGGCATACCTGTATTTGGTGAGTTTCTCGCATTCTTCTCTGCAGATCCTCTCAAGCTCTGTCAGGTTGGATGGGGAGAGTCGCTGCACAGCTATATTCAGGTCTCTCCAGAGATGTTCGATCGGGTTCAAGTCAGGGCTCTGGCTGGGCCATTCAAGGACATTGAGACTTGTCCCGAAGCCACTCTTGAATTGTCATGCTGTGTGCTTAGGGTCGTTCTCCTGTTGGAAGGTGAACCTTTGCCCCAGTCTGAAGTCCTGAGCGCTCTGGAGCAGGTTTTCATCAAGGATCTCTATGAACTTTGCTCCATTCATCTTTCCCTCAATCCTGACTGGTCTCCCAGTCCCTGCAGCTTATAAACATCCCCACAGCATGAAGCTGTCTCCACCATGCTACACAGTAGGGATGGTGCCAGGTTTCCTCCAGATGTGACACTTTGCATTCAGGCCAAAGAGTTCAATCTTGGTTTCATCAGACAAGAGAATCTTGTTTCTCATGGTCTGAGAGTCCTTTAGGTGCCTTTTGGTAAACTCCAAGCTGGCTGTCATGTGCCTTTTACTAACAATAGGTTCCGTCTGGCCAATCTACCATGCAGAGATGGGAGATCCTTCCAGAAGGACAACCATCTCCACAGAGGAAATCTGGAGCTCTGTCAGAGTGACCATGAGGTTCTTGGTCACCTCCCTGACCAAGGCCCTTCTCCCCTGATTGCTCACTTTGGCCGGGCAGCCAGCTCTAGGAAGAGTCTTGGTGGTTCCAAACTTCTTCCATTTAAGAATGATGGAGGCCACTGTGTCCTTGGGGACCTTCAATGCTGCAGAATTATTTTGGTACCCTTCCCCAGATCTGTGCCTCAACATAGTCCTGTCTTGGAGCTCTACGGACAACTCCTTCGACCTCATGGCTTGGTTTTTGCTCTGTCATGCACTGTAAACTGTAGACCTTATATAGACAGGTCTGTGCCTTTCCAAATCATGTCCAAACAATTGAATTTACCACAGGTGGTGTCCAATCAAGTTGTAGAAACATCAAGGATGATCAATGGAAACAGGATGCACCAGAGCTCAATTTCGAGTCTCATAGCAAAGCATCTGAATACTTATGTAAATAAGGTATTTCTGTTTATTTTTATTATTATAAATTAGCAAACATTTCTAAAAACAGTTTCGCTTTGTCATTATAGGTTAGTGTGTGTAGATTGATGAGGACAAATTGATGGCTGACTAAATACTTTTTTCCTTGCACAATTGGTGGCTGACTAAATACTTTCTCCCCCCCACTGTACATACAGTCCCAATCAAAAGTTTGGACACACCTACTCATTCAAGGGTTTTTCTTTAATTTTTAGTATTTTCTACATTAATAGTGAAGGCATCAAAACTATGAAATAACACATATGGAACCAAAAAAAATAGTAACCAAAAAAAGTGTTAAACAAAATATATTTGAGATTCTTCAAAGTAGCCACCCTTTGCCTTGATGACAGCTTTGCACACTCTTGCATTCTCTCAACCAGCTTCATGAGGTAGTCACCTGGAATGTGTTTCAATTAACAGGTGTGCCTTCTTAAAAGTCAATTTGTGGAATTTCTTTCCTTCTTAACGCGTTTGAGCCAATCAGTTGTGTTGTGACAAGGTATGGGAGGTATACAGAAGTTGGCCTATTTGGTAAAAGACCAAGTCCATATTATGGCAAGAACAGCTCTAATAAGCAAAGAGAAACGACAGTCCATCATTACTTTAAGACATGAAGGTCAGTCAATACGGAATATTTCAAGAACTTCGAAAGTTTCTTCAAGTGCAGTAGCAAAATCCATCAAGCGCTATGTTGAAACTGGCTCTCAATGAGGACCGCCACAGGAATGGAAGACCCAGAGTTACCTCTGCTGCAGAGGATAAGTTCATTACAGTTCATTACAGTTACCAGCCTCAGAAATTGCAGACCAAATAAATGCTTCAAAGAGTTCAAGTCACAGACACATCTCAACATCAACTGTTCAGAGGGAACTGTGTGAATCAGGCCTTCATGGTCGAATTGCTGCAAAGAAACCACTACTAAAGGACACCAATAAGAAGAAAAGACGTGCTTGGGCCAAGAAACACAAGCAATGGACATTAGACCGGTGGAAATTTGTCCTTTGGTCTGGAGTCCAAATTAGAGATATTTGGTTCCAACCGCTGTGTCTTTGTGAGACGCGTGTGGGTGAACAGATGATCTCCGCATCTGTAATTCCCAACGTAAAGCATGGAGTTATGGTGTGGGGGTGCTTTGCTGGTGACATTCTGTGATTTATTTAGAATTCAAGGCACACTTAACCAGCATGGCTACCACAGCATTCTGCAGCGATACGCCATCCCATTTGGTTTGGGCTTAGTGGGACTATAATTTGTTTTTCAACAGGACAATGACCCAACACACCTCCAGGCTGTATACAGTGGGGGAAAAAAGTATGTAGTCAGCCACCAATTGTGCAAGTTCTCCCACTTAAAAAAAGATGAGAGGCCTAGGTAGGTACACGTCAACTATGACAGACAAATTGAGAAAGAAAATTCCAGAAAATCACATTGTAGGATTTTTAATGAATTTATTTGCAAATTATGGTGGAAAATAAGTATTTGGTCATCTACAAACAAGCAAGATTTCTAGCTCTCACAGACCTGTAACTTCTTCTTTAAGAGGCTCCTCTGTCCTCCACTCGTTACCTGTATTAATGGCACCTGTTTGAACTTGTTATCAGTATAAAAGACACCTGTCCACAACCTCAAACAGTCACACTCCAAACTTCACTATGGCCAAGACCAAAGAGCTGTCAAAGGACACCAGAAACAAAATTGTAGACCTGCACCAGGCTGGGAAGACTGAATCTGCAATTGGTAAGCAGCTTGGTTTGAAGAAATCAACTGTGGGAGCAATTATTAGGAAATGGAAGACATACAAGACCACTGATAATCTCCCTCGATCTGGGGCTCCACGCAAGATCTCACCCCGTGGGGTCAAAATGATCACAAGAACAGTGAGCAAAAATCCCAGAACCACACGGGGGGACCTAGTGAATGACCTGCAGAGAGCTGGGACCAAAGTAACAAAGCCTACCATCAGTAACACACTACGCCGCCAGGGACTCAAATCCTGCAGTGCCAGACGTGTCCCCCTGCTTAAGCCAGTACATGTCCAGGCCCGTCTGAAGTTTGCTAGAGTGCATTTGGATGATCCAGAAGAGGATTGGGAGAATGTCATATGGTCAGATGAAACCAAAATATAACTTTTTGGTAAAAACTCAACTCGTCGTGTTTGGAGGACAAAGAATGCTGAGTTGCATCCAAAGAACACCATACCTACTGTGAAGCATGGGGGTGGAAACATCATGCTTTGGGGATGTTTTTCTGCAAAGGGACCAGGACGACTGATCCATGTAAAGGAAAGAATGAATGGGGCCATGTATCGTGAGATTGAGTGAAAACCTCCTTCCATCAGCAAGGGCATTGAAGATGAAACGTGGCTGGATCTTTCAGCATGACAATGATCCCAAACACACTGCCCGGGCAACGAAGGAGTGGCTTCGTAAGAAGCATTTCAAGGTCCTGGAGTGGCCTAGCCAGTCTCCAGATCTCAACCCCATAGAAAATCTTTGGAGGGAGTTGAAAGTCCGTGTTGCCCAGCAACAGCCCCAAAACATCACTGCTCTAGAGGAGATCTGCATGGAGGAATGGGCCAAAATCAAATCAAATCAAATCAAATTTTATTGGTCACATGCGCCGAATACAACAGGTGCAGACATTACAGTGAAATGCTTACTTACAGCCCTTAACCAACAGTGCATTTATTTTAAACAAAAAAAGTAAGAATAAAACAACAACAAAAAAAAGTGTTGAGAAAAAAAAGAGCAGAAGTAAAATAAAGTGACAGTAGGGAGGCTATATATACAGGGGGGTACCGTTGCAGAGTCAATGTGCGGGGGCACCGGCTAGTTGAGGTAGTTGAGGTAATATGTACGTGTGGGTAGAGTTAAAGTGACTATGCATAAATACTTAGAGTAGCAGCAGCGTAAAAAGGATGGGGTGGGGGGGCAGTGCAAATAGTCTGGGTAGCCATGATTAGCTGTTCAGGAGTCTTATGGCTTGGGGGTAGAAGCTGTTGAGAAGTCTTTTGGACCTAGACTTGGCACTCCGGTACCGCTTGCCGTGCGGTAGCAGAGAGAACAGTCTATGACTAGGGTGGCTGGAGTCTTTGACAATTTTGAGGGCCTTCCTCTGACACCGCCTGGTATAGAGGTCCTGGATGGCAGGAAGCTTTGCCCCAGTGATGTACTGGGCCGTACGCACTACCCTCTGTAGTGCCTTGCGGTCGGAGGCCAAGCAGTTGCCATACCAGGCGGTGATGCAACCAGTCAGGATGCTCTCGATGGTGCAGCTGTAGAATTTGTTGAGGATCTGAGGACCCATGGCAAATCTTTTTAGTCTCCTGAGGGGGAATAGGCTTTGTCGTGCCCTCTTCACGACTGTCTTGGTGTGTTTGGACCATGATAGTTCGTTGGTGATGTGGACACCAAGGAACTTGAAGCTCTCAACCTGTTCCAAAATACCAGCAACAGTGTGTGACAACCTTGTGAAGACTTACAGAAAACGTTTGACCTGTGTCATTGCCAACAAAGGGTTTATAACAAAGTATTGAGAAACTTTTGTTATTGACTAAATACTTATTTTCCACCATAATTTGCAAATAAATTCATTAAAAATCCTACAATGTGATTTTCTGAATTTTTTCCCTAATTTTGTCTGTCATAGTTGACGTGTACCTATGATGAAAATTACAGGCCTCTCATCTTTTTAAGTGGGAGAACTTGCACAATTGGTGGCTGACTAAATACTTTTTTCCCCCACTGTAAGTGCTATTTGACCAAGAAGGAGAGTGATGGAGTGCTGCATCAGATGACCTGGCCTCCACAATCCCCTGACCTCAACACAGTTGAGATGGTTTGGGATGAGTCGGAGGGCAGAGTGATGGAATAGCAGCCAACAAGTGCTCAGCATATGTGGGAACTCCTTCAAGACTGTTGGAAAAGTATTCCAGGTGAAGCTGGTTGAGAGAATGCCAAGAGCGGGCAAAGCTGTCATCAAGGCAAAGGGTGGCTATTTGAAGAATATATTTTGATTTGTGTAACACTTTTTTGGTTACTATATGATTCCATATGTGTTATTTCATAGTTTTGACTGGTACTGAACAAAAATATAAACACAACAAAAAAGTAAAGTGTTGGTCCCATGTTTCAGGAGCAGAAATAAAAGATCCCAGAAATGTTCCATATGCACAAAAAGCTTATTTCTCAACAAAAAAAAGGCACAAATGTGCTTTTATCCCTGTTAGTGAGCATTTCTACTTTGCCAAGATATTCCATCCACATGACAGGTGTGGCATATCAAGAAGCTGATTAAACAGCATGATCATTACACAGGTGCACCTTGTGCTGGTGACAATAAAAATACACACAAATTTGCATTTTTGTGACATAACAAAATGCCACAGATGTCTCAAATTTTGAGGTAGCGCGCAATTGGCTTGCTGACTGCAGGAATGTCCACCAGAGCTGCTGCCAGAGAATTGAATGTTCCTTTCTCTACCATAAGCTGCCTCCAATGTCTTTTAGAACATTTGGCAGTACATCCAACCGGCCTTTGCACAAGCTTCTTGCTGAAACAAGCAAGGCATTGCGTAGGTAATGCCCCCTCCCCTGCAGCAGCAGCACAAACATTTTTGAATGAATAGAACTTGCTTGGAACCTCTAACCCTGGCAATTTCATGGGTAAACTCGCACTGGCTGCCTGGTATTTTCATGCAATAATTTCCATGGTAAAGTAGAATGTATGATGTTAACTGATGTGGCTCATGCAATGGAATATATTTTTTGTAATGTCACTTGAGTCGAATCAACAAAATCACAGCACATATTGATGGGTATACTTCCTGCTTTGCTCCTATGGGTAAACTCACAATGGCCACCAGTCCACCCGCTATACCATCACGTATACAGCAGCACATGCAGTCAGGAGCAGAGGACAGGAGAACGATTACTTTTTTCTACTCAAATGGTTTTTACAGTGACCGCGGTCATTTGGCTGACCAATAACTGTCATCCAAAATTCCATGACCGTCACAGCCCCACTTGTAAGAGCAGCTAAAATGTGTACCTGTATGCTATCAGTATGCTACGAGAGACCCAAGAGAGACAGAGAAAGAGCAAGAGAAATAGAAAGAGTATTGTTGTGGTGGTACAGTACTCACAAACTTGAGGAGGCATATGTTCTCCCTTAGTGCCCCTACACATCCTGCGAAGCCCAGGATGAAGGTGATCGCTCCCACCAACAGCACTAGCCACACGGGGTCAAAGCCATGCAGCCGTGTCACCTGTGTCAGGTCCAACAGTACTCCCTACAGGAGTGAGAACAGCTGAGATAACTGTTGAGCTAACAGACACCCAGGCTATTGTGCATGGCAACACAGTACCACTGGTGAATTAAATTACTGTATGGCCTTTCAGACATGGATGACACAGAGGCTGATACCATTTCAAGCACAGCATCAACATGCAAGTTGACAGTCATTACGAGAATAATGAATGCCACATGATAAATAATTAAATTATTTAATAAATTACATGGGGTATCTGTGATTAAAAGCTGGCGTGTTATCTTGTAACATTAATAGGTCCAATACACATTTGAATAACCTCTAATGTAGCGGTTCAACCCTATAGAACAGACATGCTTACAGACATTTCGATTAAAATGTGTTATCAGCTAAAGTTTCAAGCTGTGTGTAACAATTAAATGTGAATTTGATGGTTGTGAATGTGAATCTTTTAAAAGATGTGATGGCAGTGATAAGTGACTGGACAATCCTGTATTAGACTGCCAACCAGTCTGTGGGTTGAAGGTCTGGCGCAAACACAATTATACAAACACAGTCATTGGGCAGAGATCAGCTGTCTGTATGGTGTTGAAACATTTACAGGACAATGGGAGAAGCTGCTCACTCACCTTCTCACTCCAGGCCCAGAACCCAATGGCGATGAATGCTGCTCCAGCAAGCTGAGGAAGGAAGCAGAGTATTTTTCTGGTGTGTTTACATTTTTTACTTTGTGTGTTCAGTTGTCTACTTTTATATTTCATATAGGCATTAGGGAAACGTCTGCCACTAAAGAATATTAAATAATAATGATGTATAAAAGAGGGAGCCTGCTAATAACGAAAACACTGACAACGCCTGTAATTACAAAGGTGCACCAAAATTCTCAAGAAATTGCAAAAAAACAGGAAGACATGTGTCATAAGTGGTTATCGCGTATCCTTGCACTCAGACTACAACTGCCCTATCAAGAGATGAATTAGCGCTCTTAACCAAAATCCAAAACAGAAGCGTTTCTATATTTCCTGTTGACACAGACCAAGAGAGGAAGCTAGCAAATATCATAGTGAGTTTTTTTTGCTAAATATGTTGCGATCACAGAATCCTGGAGGGACTGCTATATGCTCCCCCTTATGCCGGGCGTACACTACACGACTTTCAAAATCCTAACATTGCTGACCCTCACATTAAACAAACGCCTTTCCTGTAGTTTTTTGTCTTGCCAACGTAGTGGTGTGCACACTAAACGATGTGGCACAGACAGGGGGTCACACACTACAAGATTCTTCACTTGGTTGTGAGGATTCTCGATACCACGCTGTCTCCCAGAAACAATGAGTGATGTGATTAGACTGTTAACGTAGCTGGAACGAGTTGTGTCTCAAAGCAGCCTCAAACGCATTCAGTCAGAAATTCACGCTTGCCATACAGAGTTGAATTATCTAGCCTATACATTTTGAATTGAGTAACATTGCTTGTGAACTTCAGAGTTGTAACGATTTGACACTGGCTTTGGTTAAAGACAAGTACAAACGAATACTAGTAGTAATCGCTCATGCTCGACAGTCTACTCATTCTGGGTGAAGCGATACGTCATCATCTCACTGGCTTCTTCTCTGGCAAGCTCTCATTGCTGATCACCGTTCTCAAAACATGTTGTTGCCCATCTCACTACAAGAGCATTGCCGACTTTGTGGTGATAAAATATGTTTGAAAATATTGGGACGTCTAGGATTTTGCAGGCAACAACATGGGGATTTTGTCTCTGATCTCAAAAACGTGTCTGGGACAGCTAAATCAGGGTCAAATCGTGTAGTGTATGCCTGGATTTAAGAGTATCTGATTACTGGCCATGGCTGACTCTAGCAGACTAAACTCCACGTTGAAGGACGCTTATGACGAACTTCACCAACAGAGTGGAGCAGAGACCAGGCTTTGTGGAATCTAGCTCAGACTACATCGATTCCCCCAAGGTCAATACTTCAAAAAAATGTAAATCATTAAACACCTACCGTGTACCAATGTTTGTCCTCTGTAGTTGCAGACCATTCATTGTTTGCTGAAATCCATACTTTCTCAATAAATGTTAATCAAATACAACCGACTTTTGCTCATTTCTGTTTCTCAAAGATGGCAGCTTAGCGCATGTGTCAATTGATTCTCCGATGACGTAGGCCTAGGTCTCCAAATACTCATTGTCCAATCAAATCACACAATCTACAGATGGTGTGTCGACCAATAACATTTTGCACATTACTTTATTGACAGGCCTCATTTTCTATCCAGAGATACTGAGAAATAACGAGAGAGAAATCATAGAAAGATACAATAATTTTATAGCAGGGGTCTCCAACAGGTTGATCGCGAGCTACCATTAGCCTGCAGCCCACCTATGAGTAGCTGGCCAAACAATTCTGAGAGCCAGTTTCATCATAGCGCTTGATGGTTTTTGCGACTGCACTTGAAGAAACTTTGAAAGTTCTTGAGATTTTCAAGATTAACTGACCTTCGTGTCTTAAAGTAATGATGGACTGTCGTTTCTCTTTGCTTATTTGAGCTGTTCTTGCCATAATATGGACTTGGACCACCCCGACCTCGTCACAACACAACTAATTGACTCAAACTCATTAAGGAAAGAAATTCCACTAATTAACTTTTAACTTTGGCACACCTGTTAATTTAAATGCATTTTAGGTGACTACCTCATGAAGCTGGTTGAGAGAATGCCAAGAGTGTGCAAAGATGTCATCAAGGCAAAGGGTGGCTATTTGAAGAATCTCAAATATAAAATATATTTTGATTTGTTTAACACTTTTTTGGTTACTACATGATTCCATATGTGTTATTTCATAGTTTTGATGTCTTCACTATTATTCTACAATGTTGAAAATAGCAATGAGTAGGTAGGTTTCTTCCCCCCCCCCAAAAAAAAAGATAGTCTTCACATTGACTCAGAACATCCAATTTCGTTGTTTCTCTATGAAGAATTGTAATTTTTTGAGTGAAAAACAAAACAAATCTAAAACCAGGAAAGATAAAACAAAGAAAATGTAAAACATAATTTGGGGTGGGGAGGATATTGCAGATTATATAGGGCCCCCTCAGAGTTCTTTATTAACATTATTGTACCAGGTATATTCACAGACAAAATATAGTGCACTACTTTCTCTTGTACACTAAGGAACCGGGAAACATTGCAGGGGAGAGATGAATGTGCCTATCTGAAAGCTAGAGAAAAAAATTAGTAGCTCACAACATGTTTCATTTTTTAAAAGCAGCATTCATGCTAGAAAAGGTTGGAGACCCCTGTTTTATAGCCTAAAAAGTTGTTTATTGAAATGAAAGAAAGGCACGCAACTACAGAGGACAAACATAAGTACAAGGTATGCAATTCATGATTTAACTTTTGTTAAGTATTGACCTTGGGCAAATCGAGTCTGAGAGCTAGATTCCACAAAGTCTGGTCTCTGCTCCACTCTGTTGGTAAAGTTAATCATAAACTTCCTTCACCAGAGTGGAGTTTAGTCTGCTAGGCTGACTCATAGCGCAGGCCAACTATACAGTATCTTCATAACTACATTCATAGCATAGCACCAAATGAGACAACGGGGTGTCACAGCATGTCTGCATTACTCATGGTTTACAGGGCTACTGCTATTACTACTTACCCAAAAGATGATGTTGTAGCTGAACATGAGGTACTTGTAGCAGCAGCTGACTTCTGCATTTTCATAACGATAGTAGTGCATCTTTCCCCTGTGTTGAAAGACAGGCGGGAGACAATGACAGTTAGCTAACTAGGTGGCACACAGATGGGACAAGATGTGAAAGGTTGACCTACTAGCTTGATAATTAACGATTTGTTTATCCAACTACACGTTAATAAGGCTATCACTTAGCTAGCAACATAGCTAGCTAACTAGCTTACGTTTGTTAGTTCAGCTGAAACACTTAATCAAAGACTGAAATGGTAGCTACAACTGACTGTTGGCCAGAAGAAGCCGGATTAACTAACTAACGGAAGCTAAACTTGTTCATTTATTTGGCCAGCTAACTAGTTAACAGTTAACGTTAGCTAGCTGACCGACTTTCGATTTTCTGCACACTGTCAGATGAACACCAACAGCTAGATAACAATAGGTACTAGCAGAGTTACTGTAGCTAGCTAACGTTAGACAGCTTATTAACATTACCTGGCTAGTTGGTCAACAAAATTAATTTACGGCGGCTAGTTAGTTGGCTATCGCTGGATACTGTGATACGGATGGAAACACAGCTAACTTAGCTAGTTACTAGCCATAGTGGCTATCCAGAAAATAAATATATGCTTGTAAACAGAAGCCATTCACTAGCTAAATTAGTGTTAGATGCCAATCACTGTCGCTAACTTAGCTAGCTAAATTAGCTAACCTTAGCCATTGACTAGGACTCACTGTTAGCTTTGTTGCTAGCTAACGGTAGCTGGTTAGCGTAGCGATGAAGACATTGTGTTTGTTTAACTAACAAGCTATCTTGCTGAAAAAACAAAATATTCGGCAAACTTCACCTTTTCAATACAGATAAAGTAGCTACGTTACAAAAACAACGTTTAATCAATTGTTTATATTCATTTTATTCGTTGCTACATATCAACTTTCCCACCATAAACAACTCACCGCGGCTTTGTTTAGCTCTGCACTGCCTGTTGTGGCAAAAATGATCTGTTGTTGGTTGAGTTTCGAAAACTCTTCGGATACTTTTTACTCGACTTCCTGTAAGCGCAGCAGGCCACGCCCAATCTTCTCCTATGTTTTTGTTTGCATGTCGTTACACAAAGGTTATATATTAGAATTTGAATTGATAATTGATTGAGTAATAATCTATGCAAACTCAACAAATCAACTTTATGGAAATGTAAAAAAATCCTTAGATGGCCACATCAATAATTAATATGGTCGATAAATGACACTATCTGATACATAAAATAGTTTATTGGTCACATTCACAGTTTAGCAGATGTTAAAGCGGGTGCAGCGTAATCGTTATATTATTAGCGCCTAACAATGCAGTAAAATGTTAAACTAGTAAAAAATTAATCAAAAAAATTAATTTTTTTATCAAGAAATGTCGAACGAATCCAATTAACAAGCCAAATAGCATTGTAATCACAGCAATCCAAATGCAATCTATATGTATATAGCCTACACCAGATGAATTTACACAAGCTATACTAACAATGATATGCACAGCAGTAGATATATTAGAGTGAGCTACAGTGCCTTTGGAAAGTATTCAGACCCCTTGACTTTTTCCACATTTTGTTACATTACAGCCTTGTTCTAAAATCGATTTTCCCTCATCAATCTACACACAATACCCCATAATGACGAAGCAAAAACATGTTTTTAGAAATTTTAGCAAATGTATTAAAAATAAAAAACGGAAATATCACATTTACATAACTATTCAGACCCTTTACTCAGTACTTTGTTGAAACACCTTTGGCAGCGATTACAGCCTCCAGTCTTCTTGGGTATGACGCTACAAGCTTGGCCCACCTGTATTTGGGGAGTTCCTCTTCTCTGCAGATCCTCTCAATCTCTGTCAGGTTGGATGGGGAGCGTCGCTGCACAGCTATGTTCAGGTCTCTCCATAGATGTTTGATTGGGTTCAAGTCCGGGCTCTGGCTGGGCCACTCAAGGACATTCAGAGACTTATCCCAGAGCCACTCCTGCGTTGTCTTGGCTGTGTGCTTAGGTTCGTTGTCCTGTTGGAAGGTGAACCTTCGCCCCGGTCTGAGGTCCTGAGCGCTCTGGAGCAGGTTTTCATCAAGGATCTCTCTGTACTTTCCTCCGTTCATTTTTCCCCTCGATCCTGAAAAACCTCCCCACAGCATGATGCTGCCACCACCATGCTTCACTGTAGGGATGGTGCCAGGTCTCCTCCGGACGTGACGCTTGGCATTCAGGCCAAATAGTTCAATCTTGGTTTCATCAGGCCAGAGAATCTTGTTTCTCATGGTCTGAGTCCTTTAGGCTGTCATGTGCTGTCATGTGCCTTTTACTGAGGAGTGGCTTCTGTCTGGCCACTCTACCATAAAGGCTTGATTGGTGGAGTGCTGCAGAGATGGTTGTCCATCTGGAAGGTTCTCCCATCTCCACAGAGGAACTTTGGAGCTCTGTCAGAGTGACCATCGGGTTCTTGGTCACCTCCCTGACCAAGGCCCTTCTCCCCTGATTGCTCAGTTTGGCCAGGCGGCCAGCTCTAGGAAGAGTCTTGGTGGTTCCAAACTTCTTCCATTTAAGAATGATGGAGACCACTGTGTTCTTGGGGACCTTCAATGCTGCAGAAATGTTTTTTTGTTACCCTTCCCCAGATCTGTGCCTCAACACAATCCTGTCTTTGAGCTCTACAGACAATTCCTTTGACCTCATGGCTTGGTTTTTGCTCTGACATGCACTGTCAACTGTGGGACCTTGTATAGACAGGTCTGTGCCTTTCCAAATCATGTCCAATCAATTGAATTTACCACAGGTGGACTCCAATCAAGTTGTAGAAACATCTCAAGGTTGATCAATGGAAACAGGATGCATCTGAGCTCAATTTCCAGTCTCATTGCAAGGGGTCTGAGTACTTACGTGAATAAGGTATTTCTGTTTGTTATTTTGAATACATTTGCAAACATTTCTAAAAACCTGTTTTCGCTTTATCATTATGTGGTATTGTATGTAGATTGATGAGGATATTTAAAAAAAATCAATTTTAGAACAAGGCTGTAAAATAACAAAATGTGGAAAAGTCAAGGGGTCTGAATACTTTCTGAATGCACAATAGGATGAGCCATGACTCGAATACAGTATATACATATAAAGTGGGTAAAGCAGTATGTAAACATTATTCAAGTGACCAGTGTTCAGTGACTCTGTGTACATAGGGCAGCAGTCTCTAAGGTGCAGGGTAGAGTACCGGGTGGTAGCCAGCTATTGACAGTGTCTAAGGTTTTGGGCAGGGTACTGGGCGGAGGCCGGCTAGTGATGACTGTTTAACAGTCTGATGGCCTGGAGATATAAGATGTTTCTCAGTCTCTCGGTCCCAGCTTCGAAGCACCTGTACTGTCTCCGCCTTCTAGATGGTAGTGGGTTGAATAGGCCATGGTTCAGGTGGTTGAGGTCCTTGATGATCCTCTTTGCCTGCCTGTGACACTGGGTGCTGTAGATGTCCTGCTGTAGACACACTGCAAGGGTCTAATACAGGACACATATATACAGTTATTGACACACACACACAGACACACACACAAACACACAGAAACACACAAATACACACAAACACGCTGCAAGGGTCTAATGCAACAACAACAAAAAAACAGATCAGTTCCATTAAGCTTTCCCACAGCCAGACATATTGGCTATTGGCACATATATATGGTATACATAAAATACATATTGCAGTATATCTAGTAGTATAGGTTACACTATCAGCTGATAATTAAATGGTGACTGCTCATCATATCTGGAGCTTGCCGCCATCTGCTGGCATTGTACTATCCACACATCACTCAGCACTATTACGCGCTGACTAACTATTTGAAGGGTTGAGTGCAATATGTGCAATCTCTAATTGCAACTAAAGTGTATGATTCTTGACAGTTAAATAAGATGGGCCAAAATGAACTGATGACCACTATAATTATCTTCCACTGAAATCATGAGGATACAAAACAGTAGGGAATACGTTGAATAAAATTCCAATGTGAGTTTGGGGTCTTGTCTTGATCTCCTGATGTGCCCTTGCAGTTCCATTGAAAAGTCATGAACTTGAAAAGAGTTATGCTTGCTTCACGAGTTCATAACCTGCTCTCTACCCCCCATTGAATAATCTCCTTGTCTCCAACACCATTGTGAGCATGACCTTTATGTGACTGGGGTTACAACTGTGTCCAGGATGTGCTGATTGATTAATTGTACTTCTGCTACAATGAATGGGCTGAAGGCAATACAGAAACAAATCACTATTAGCGATCTACCTCAACCATGTGGTGGTTTCTTATTAGGCATTCATACAATAGTGTGAGATATTTTGCATAAAAAATATATTAGAAATGTATTGCATTAGAAAAGTCTTGCTGTGGCATCACACTCTTTATGAATCGGATTCAACATTTTGCAAAGTGCCTTGCGACTTGAGAGTCATCAGTAATGCCTGCAATAATTCAGCAAGTGTAGCTGTTTTCCAAGACATTTGATGTACTGAGGACAATGTATAGCATAATGGAACTGGACTGAGTCGGGTTCAGGATCTATAGTGGTCCAAGTAGATGTGATCCAATAAATGCTGGCATTCATTAGAAAACTTCACGTGGTCTCATTATCATGGAATACTTTTTGAGGTTCAGCTGGAGAACAGACATCTGACAAGACAGGTCTGACATGAGTCTATCTACAGATGCTTGTTGACCGGGAATCACAAGAGTTGTTGACCATAGTGACTAACAAAGGAATGAAGAGGTACGACAGGTTCTCTTTTGGGCTCAGCTCTGTCGCTGTTTCTAAGACCCATGGACTAGGTTTGCATGGGCAAGTCTGAATAAGCAGCACTCTCCTACAGAAAGGACAGGTTATACGGGCAATACATTAACTGCCATCTTTATTCTAATGTAGGCTCTTTTAGTGTTTCCCCTAGGTTAATTAGAATACTTCTCAGTCTGTTTCTATATTTGCACAATCAAAAACAACTCTTCACAGTTTTCTTTATGACTGTGGTTTCAAGGCGTCACGTATTCTTGACCAACAAGCTTCTTTGAGCTGTGAGAATAAAAACCACCACATCCAATACATAATACAGTGCCTTCAGAAATAAGCATACCCCTTCACTTATTCCACATTTTGTTGTGTTACAGCCTGAATTCAAAATTGATACATTTTTTTCCCCCTTTGCCTTGATGACAGCATTGCACACTCTTGGCATTCTCTCAACCAGCTTCATAAGGTAGTCACCTGGAATGCATTTCAATTAACAGGTGTGCCTTCTTAAAAGTTAATTTGTGGAATTTCTTTCCATCTTAATGTGTTTAAGCCAATCAGTTGTGTTGTGACAAGGTAGGGTTGGTATACAGATGATAGCCCTATTTGGTACAAGACCAAGTCCATATTATGGCAAGAACAGCTCAAATACGTAAAGAGAAATGACAGTCCATCATTACTTTAAGACATGAAAGTCAATAAATCCAGAACATTTCAAGAACTTTGAACGTTTCTTCAAGTGCAGTCGCAAAAACCATCAAAAGCGCTATGATGAAACTGGCTATCATGAGGATCGCCACAGGATAGGAAGATTCAGAATTATCTCTGATGCAGAGGATAAGTTCATTAGAGTTAACTGCACCTCAGATTGCAGCCCAAATAAATGCTTTATGGATTTCAAGTAACAGACACATCTCAACATCAACTGTTCAGAGGAGACTGCGTGAATCAGGCCTTCATGGTCGAATTGCTGCAAAGAAACCACTACTAAAGGACACCAATAAGAAGAAGAAACTTGCTTGGGCCAAGAAACACGAGCAATGGACATTAGACCGGTGGAAATCTGTCCTTTGGTCTGACGAGTCCAAATGTGAGATTTTTGGTTCCAACCGCCGTGTCTTTGTGAGACACAGAGTAGGTGAACGGATTATCTCTGAATGTGTGGTTCCCACCGTGAAGCATGGAGGAGGAGGTGTGATGGTGTGTGGGTGCTT